TTGTTGAATTATGATTTGGATTGTTTAAAATAAATATTTTTTTTTATTTCATATGATTTGGGATTAATTTTAGTTTAGATTAGATATCAGGTAAAGACGTTTGTTGTGGACTTATAAAACCATCGACCAATAATGATGAACTTAATTTACTTTATATGATTATTTCAATGGGTTGGTTGTAATTTGTATTGCTAAATTGGTATTTTTTGTTAAAAAATGAAATTTTAAAATTTGTAAGTTAATAAAAATTAATTTTTTAATTAAAAATTTAAAAAACGGTTTGGTTCAGTTTTATGCTATTTTTGAAAATTGAAACCTAAACCAAACCATTTTGAAATGGTTTGGTTCGGTTTGAGGGAAAAAAGGGGGTCCACATGGACCCGAACCAACGGTTTCGCTGTTTTTTTTTTTTTTTTTTTGCAGCCCTAGTTGCACTTGCACACAACGGCATCTACGTTAGTTGTGGTGATGCTAAAACATCTGCTTTCTGCACATTTTGGCTAAGGTATGCGAGAAAGAGGGCTAATGCCAAATAAAGAAATTTTTGCTTGATATCAATATTCATTCTCAAGCAACTCACTCCCCAAGGCCATCGATAGTATCCCTAAGTTTCTCACAACAAAATCTCTCGCAAATCCGATATTTTCTCTACTTATCTCTCGATCTTGCAAGAAATCAGAAGGAATTGAGACATATATGGTTCCGTTGTGATGGTTCTTAGAACAACATAAACCATAGCAGTCTATCTTCCTTTGCTTTGTTTTGGAAGGGAAACGACGATCTTCGATAAGACATTTGATTTCATCTGCGCAAGCCTTTTAATTTGTTAATATTACTTTGGGTGTTGTTTCCTGAAAATTTTAGAGTGCTGGTCAACCACAGAAGTAATAACCACTTATTAACATGTACTCCAATGAGGGTGATCTAAAGATTGAAAGTGTTTGAGAGGTGAACATAAAGTCGGGACTTCCTAATGACAAGGAGCACATACTCGGGATCAAAATTGTTGATAGTCATCACAGGCTAGAGTTACGGGTTCTTTAACCAATCACATGTAGTATATTCTATTTCCTGAGATAATATTTCAGTTATAAAATCAATAATGCATTAGTTGATTACTTTTGGTGACAAAAAATAATTAACACAATAAGTTGGGAGAATAACTGTGTTTTTAACGTCTTCGGCTTCTCCTATACTTGTAACAACTAATTATACAAATGAGTACTCCTGTGAGTTTTTTTTTTACTGTCTGTACTCTTCATTTGTTCTTCTGATCAAGTAATTATTCTATCACTTCGTCTATCACTGATTACGTGAAGATGATAGAAACACTTTTCCAATTTTGTAGAGACCAGCTCAAGCTTAGAACGTAAAGGATTCTCGTATCTTCATGAACATCTTATATAAGTGCTATAAAGGTGTCGCCAATTGTAGTGAGATGAAGAGTGTCGTGTTTGCTAGACGTTGCTTTTATGTATGTTGAATTCATTTTCTATCTTCACAATTTGAGCATTGTTATTTCTTGTTTTTTTTTCTTTTATCATTCTTTGTTTTCTTCTTCCATTGAGAGATATAGGAAGCTTTGTGCAGCATGTAGTTAATTGAAAAAGTTGATGCTTTGCTAATGTTTTCCCTCATATGCGTGTTCTATTAATTTGTGTTGGAATAAGATCACATGTTTTGTTAAACTACTCATACAATCTTCCAATTTATCTTTTCATTATTCTCCATATTTGGCTACAAAGGCAGTGATCATACTTTCTCATTTTGTTGAGAGTGGTTGAAGTGATCTTCAACTATTGCTTTGCATTTCCTTAGCATTATGATCTATTAGATAATATTTTTACTATTTTATTTTCCAATAAACTTTCTTCCTTGCTCAATGGTACTTAAAAAATTTTTGGTACAGGGCACAAATATGAATTGTCAAACATTTGCAAGCTTAGAAAGATAGTATCATCCCCATTAATTTCCTCCTTGGGAAAAAAATTGGCAAGCAAAAACTTTTTAGTTGAATCTTACTGGAATATTATCCTTATTCAATTTTACTAATTATTATGTCAATTTCTATAAGATTTAGGCAAAACTTACTAAATCCATTAATATTCGATATGCTAACTTTACCTTAAAGAAAATTACAGTCTGTGCATTGCGCGGGCAAAAAACTAATATAAAGAGAAAATACAGTTTTTGTTAAAAAAAAGTTAAAATAAAATATGTAACTTATAATTAACGACTCAAAACTTAGGGGAAGACTCTGCGAAGTCTTTGTGGGGATGCAAGTCAATGGAATTATATGAACCAATATCAATTATTTGTCATGAAAAGTTGGTTCATAAATGAGACATTTTTGGCTGCTGACTTTTCCAAGAGAAAAGTATTTATAAAATCTTTCCAAAAGATGATATCATATTTCCTGTAGTTGCTTTATATATTTATATTTTGCTTATACATTCTGAATTGGAATCATTTTGATGTATTAATATTCTCATTTTGTTGATTGTCGTTACTTGGAAGAAATGTACCCCTGTTTGGTTTGAATTAAAATCTCAAGTCAAAGTAAACAATTAATTTTAATCACACACTTCATGGGACCCACAACTTTTCAACCACGTGTTTCATAATTTTTTATCAAAATCTACTAAAAATTCGATTTTAATCTCTACCAAACGGGGTAAATTTTGTGTTGATTTTGACGTGACTTCATTTGTTGTATCGATTTTTTTAACAGACGTACGATATTGATGATTCGAATGATAAAATTTTCATACAATGAACTTTATGTATATCGAGAATAATATTTGTTTATTTGTCATTTTATTGGCGTCTCTTACCCTTGATGGAATTGTTGGTGGTCTTCTTCACCCTAAAACCAGTGGATGAGCTTCTTTCAAATGAGTATTAAATATCAAAACTTTAAATTATGCTTCATCTTTAATCAAATTAGACTATTGCTTGATGGAATGGGGTTCATACATTCTAAAGCCATAAAGAATAAGGAGGAGCTTGGTAACCACATTAGACTCTTCAACGATCATCAGATATCCCGAGCACAAAGATTTTGATAGTTGCAAGGTCGTTCTTTGGAACCACACTTGGCTATTTTCGCATTGCACCTTGGCCCGCTGCTGGGGATTGGCTCTTTTGGCGCTGCAAACAAGTCATGATAAAAGGAGTGTTGCAAGCATGGGCTGTTTTACATGGGCTTATGTGGGGTCAGCTGATCTCATAGAAATTTTTGAAATTTTGTTTTTAAAATATTAATTTTTTTTCCCACTTTGTACCTCCCAACTTCTCTCAAATTCCCAATCCCATTTTTCTCTCAATACCTAGATTTGTCATTTTTACCAAATAATTGCATTTTTCTACTCAATTCATCTGCACCAATGTCGATGACCGACCACATTTTTTCTTCCCCTCGAGACCTGACTCCTCAAGGCCCTCATCCCACGCAATTGAATTGTTGATTCGACCGTTGAATGATAGTCTAATTGTATATATTCATACATTCTAAAGCAATAAAGAACACGGAGGAGCTTGGTAACCACATTAGACTCTTCGAAGATCATCAGATATCCCGAGCAAGGTCGCTCTTTGGCAACGCACTTGGCTATTGTTGCATTGCACCTCGGCCCGCTGCTGGGGGCGGCCACAATGATGCTCAGACAATTGGCTCTTTTGGCGCTGCAAACAAGTCATGATAAAAAGAGTGTTGCAAGCATGTGGGGGTTAGCTGATCTCATAGAAATTTTTGAAATTTTGTTTTTAAAATATTAATTTTTTTTCCACTTTGTACCTCCCAACTTCTCTCAAATTCCCAATCCCATTTTTCTCTCAATACCTATATTTATCATTTTTACCAAATAATTGCATTTTTCTACTCAACTCATCTGCACCAATGTCGATGACTGACCACATTTTTTCTTCCCCTCGAGACCTGACTCCTCAAGGCCCTCATCCCACGCAATTGAATTGCTGATTCAACTGTTGAATGATAGTCTAATTGTATATAGTTAGGATAATGTATTTGACAATATTGATAATGATCTAATTATACGATCATTTCAATGTATGAATATGTATAGGCAACTTTTGCAGTAATGTATTGAATTATTTTCATTAATATTATGTTGCTTGAAAAAATATAATTTCTAACTTAATTTTGACCTCACAATTAAGAATGTCTGGCGGCTCCACCACCGATTGCAATCCAGAAGTAATGGGAAGTTCTCTTGAAGAGAATTGCCATTAATATTCTGAGTATGATTCGCCAGAGGAATATGAATTATTAGTTTAAGTAAATGTCTTTATCTAGTAATACTGAGATCATTTTTTAACCTTTTTTTTTCCTTTTGATCTTTTGCATTTTGTCAATAGTTTTGCGAGAATAAAGAATCTTGGTTGTTAAATGAATCCGTTCCCCCTTCAAAAATTTAGCTACCCCTTTTAATAGGGTAGAATGATTAACACGTGTATAGTATTGTCTGGTCTGGTGTGTGCTGCAGAAGCTTAAAGATCTCTCCTTCCCCTGGAAAGCATAAACATAACCTGTAAATTGCATGCCTGAAGAGAAAATCAAACTTCATATAAATTTGTTTAAATTTCTTCAAATTCCATTACAACTTGCTAATGTAATGGAGACTGAATAGCTCACGATCTAATAGACAAGAAACAGAATACAAATTGCATTATTTATAGGCACAAACAAGAACAACCCACAAAAGAAGATGCTGCAATATACTAAAATGCCACACCACTGCTGGATGATTACATTACATGGGAGGACGGTCGCACAAATTCTTGTAATTGCAAGGTCGTTTATCATAGAATTGGTTCGGTCTATCTATGCAACTTGCTTGTACATCTGCGTCGCAGGAGAGCTTCGTTGGTTTTAGAACAGGAATAGTCTTTGATGGTACTTTGGGAACCAAAAGATTCCTTCTACTTATATCCAATTCCATCGAGAATTCTTCGTCGTCTGGAATGCAGTCGGCAATTCTGGTACCGTTGCACACAGCGGCAGCTGCGTTAGTTGCGGTGATGCTAAAACATTCGGCTTTCTGCACATTTTGGCTAAGGTATGCGAGAAAGAGGGCTAATGCCAAATAAAGAAATTTTTGCTTCATATCAATATTCATTCTCAAGCACTCACTCCCCAGGTTCAACTCAAATTCTATGATTGTTACAAGGTATACAAATATATCTGATAGTAGAAAGTTTTGGATAAGAAATAAATGGCTACCAGTAGGAGGTAGGACCCCCCTATAGGCCAATACCCCATTGCATCATTTGGAGACGAACAATACTGAGAAAGCTTATAGTGCTTGAAAATTACATTCACTTATGCAAATAGGAAACTTCGGACAAGAAATAGATGGCTACACTTGGGAGCTCTCAGTAAATGAGTGGGGTCTGTCTTTAATGGTATAGCTACCCCTTTTCAATAAAAATAACTAGAATTAACCTATTTGTACAATTGTCAACAACAATTGTGGTTGACAACATCAATGTTGTCAAAATCTGGACCATTGATTTAAAAAACAGTTTTTAAAATGGATGAATGCGAGGTTAACAAGTGTGGGTTGTCAACCAAAATTGTAAGAAAAGATTGTACAAGTAGCATGATTGAAACAACTAGTCAACGTCAAGCTCTAAAGCCTATGTTCGAGATTGATTATTAGTAACTCCTAAAGAACTTTTTAGGAGGAATATTGGTGGGACCACAAAATGTTGGATAAGAATGAATAGTTGTTTTGAATGTGTTGTTTAAATTAGAGTTTGACTTTAACAGGGTAGTAAAAGTAACTTTTTAAGTTACTAATATTGTTATCCAAACACAAGCTACCGAGTTGGGTAAAGTAATAAATGTTCAGATTTAACTTCAACACTTTTTTTTACTGTATCTATCATAAACTGAAATCTAAAACTTCTTGAAAAGATGGAAGAATTTATCCACAGAGTGATGTTAACTAAAAAAACTTCTACGCGCTTGAATATAATATAAGCTTAATAAATTTATTTGTTGCAGAAACTTCAAATGTCTATTAGTAGAGGAAACGTACAAGAGAATACAATTGCTATTTAAAATAATCTCCACAAATCTGAGTGATTCTCTTGACTGAAAACTAGATAGTCTATTAGTTATAGAAAGGATATAGAACAAATTTTTGAGTCCTAAAGTTTATTTGGGTTGAAATCACATTTTGAAGTGCTATATGCTAATGTAGCAACAAGATGAGTACAGAACTACTTCTGGTGAACTCTGCAGTTCTTAAGGACCCCTATTACCATCTGCAGCCTCTTGCTGCTTTAAGGCAGCCTCGAGGTTTGCCACAATCTCATCCATTGATGGCCTTTCGGTTCCGCGATCAAGTAAACACCTGCCAGCAGTTTCTATGAACATCTTAAGGCTAGCTGGTGATGTTTTCCCAGCCAGATATGGGTCGATGCAACCAGAAAGGTTACTTCTCATGCTCGACTTTATCCAATGTGCTAGACTCACTTGATCCTCATCTGACCAACGATCTGATGTTTTGTCAGCACATAATACTTCACACAAAACCATGCCGAAAGAGTATATGTAAGACTTTTCTGTTAATTGTACATCACGTACGAAATCTGAATCCAAATAGCCCCAATTACCTCTAACAATCACATTGTTGTTGCCTTTCTTTGTGGACAACCCCCATTCTGAAACCTTAGGGACCCAGTTCTCGTCTAACCAAATGTTGTTTGAATTAAAATCACGGTGGAGAGTCGTCTGCTTGATTACGGACTGAAGGTAGCTTAGTCCTCGTGCAGCACCGATGCAGATTTGAAGTCTCCGATTCCATGGAAGAGGATCCTTACAAGGGTCGTGGAGTTGCTCATGGAGTGTCCCATTTGTCATATAGGCATATACAAGCATCATATCCGATTGGCTTTCGCAGTATCCAATGAGAGAAGTAACATGATCCTGACTTGGCGAAGTCTGCATCTGAATCTCTTTCTTTGATTGCAGCTCATGTTCCATGTTAAGTCTGGACTCTCTAGTTCTTGACCGTCTGATTGCTACAACTTTTTGATCACCATCTATGTATCCTTTGTAGACGTTGTCTGATCCTCCATAACCGATGACGAGACTGATATGGAAGTTGTTTGTGGCCTTTTGAATTTCTTGCAGAGAGAAGTGACGAAATACTACTTCTGGTAGCAATGGTGAAGCTTTCGTCTTTGATGGTGTTTTTGGCAAAATTCCGAACAGATCCCACCACCTTTGTGACAAATTGCCGGAGCTATCTCTCGTCTTTGTCTTTGTATTCTTCTGATCACTGCCTCTGATTTTTGGAAACAAGCCTGGAATCTCATCACTGGTTGCCCTTTCTGAGTCACCCTTTGGAGGCGATATACTTATGTCGTCCATGAAAATAGCACCTTCACTATGATCACTGTAAGTTCTGCCTACATTCATATCCTCCTCTACCTGCTCAACGGTATCCTTGTTCTGTTCCAAAACCAGTGCTAACTCAAGGCTCATCACCACATCAGCCATTGCAGGTCGCCCATGTGGTTGAGTATGTAAGCATCTGCCTGCAATTCCCACGAACACTTTCAGACAAGCTGGTGAAATCTGCCCCATCAGATTGTGATCAATGAGTCGATCCACTTTTCCCTCTCTCACACAATATCTGGCCCATCCAGCCAGGCTATGTTGCTCCTCTTCGAGTCTTATGTCTATAGCTGGTCTTCCGGATAGTATTTCAAACAATACTACTCCAAAAGCATACACATCAGATTTTCTAGTCAGTTTACGAGTCAGGAAGTACTCCGGATCCAAGTAGCCAAAAGTTCCTTTTACATTGGTACTGATATGGCTGAAAGAATCATTCGCTGGTCCCATTTTAGACAACCCAAAATCGGAAATCTTGGCAATCCAATTCTCATCCAACAGAATGTTTGAGCTTTTAACATCTCTATGTATAACTCTGTGCCGGGAGTGAAGGTAATACAATCCACGAGCAGCGCCAATGGAGATCTTGAGACGTAGTTCCCAAGACAGAGGAGGATTAGGCCTTCCATTTCTATTCATCTTGTACAGATGATCAGAAACTGTTCCTCTTGCCATGTATTGGTAAATCAACAGCCTCTCCTGGCCATCATTGCAAAAACCAATCAGAGAGACAAGATGCTCATGCCGGAACTTGGATAGCATCTTGATCTCTGTCCAAAACTCATTATCCCCTTGCCTGGACTCAGATTTCAGTCGCTTGATTGCAACAGCGGTAGATCCACCATCAATACTCCCTTTATATACTTTGCCATATCCACCACTGCCAATGAGAAATTCAGGATTGAAATTCTTTGTTGATGATTGGATTTCACTGATGGAAAACTGACGGCACTCATATTCTCGAGATGGTGAGATTATGTTCCTGGGGCCAGAATTCGTGTCCGAAACACTTCTTAAATGGTAGACTGCTATGTTCAGCAAGGTAATTATAATCGTCAGTGCAGTTGCAATAGCATTCCTACTGCCAAATGACAGTAGTTTCCTTTGCCTTGTTGTTGATGTTAAATTCTGCACCTCATGAACTGGACCCATGCCGGCAAGACTGTTGTCAGGGTTGCTCAACTTGAATACTTCTAAACCATTCAGGATGCTGAGTTTTGATCGGAAACTGATGGTGAGATTGCGCATACCCATCATTTTATCTCCCTCCATCATTACAATATAGTCCCTGTATGCTGCAACTTTGGATGCTCCAGCCCATTGGTCCATTCGCGTATTATCCTCCACAACCTGATTGGTTATAACAACCGAGAGCTCCCTCTTGACTAACCCATAATCAAATTCACTGAAATGGAGCCTAATCAGATACCTAAATCCCATATCAACTGGTATGTTCCATGTAAGATTGTATATACTGAATTCTTGATCTACTTCCATTGACCTTGCTGTTTGGTGTATTTTTAATGGGGCTATATATGTCAATGTTTGTCTATATATGTTTGTAGTAATCTTATTAACAGAAACAGTACCTGTTTCCAACAAGTATTTGGAGTCTTCATCCCATCTGCGGAACAAGCAATCTTCAACTGGTGAAATGGAGTTTCCGCCAATATTCAGCCTCTGAACCATTTCGAGTGCTGTGGTATTATCTATGTAGAAATTATGCTTCTGGCCAACAACATGACCTCCCAAATCCCCTTCTGGAGTGAAGTAAAGACCAGTAGGCATAGAGACAATCTCAATTCCATTGACGAAGGCATGAACGTCACTTGATTTGCTCATTTTTGGAGATGGTGAGAAAGTTATAGTTAAAACTCGATTCTCTTCCACGTTTATGCAGAACTCTCTGCTAAAATTCTTTACGCCTAAAGCTCTATGGGTAAGGTCTGTGCTGAAGTTGCTGAGTAGTGTATAAGCACCAGCTTTGACAGTAAACAAGGCTTTAGATTTTCTAAAACCTTTATATGAAGCTTGGTAGAAGTGCAGACGGATAAATTTCTGGCCGGGATTGACGGAAAAAGCGTAGCTGAACTCATGACTAGAAATCCTAGCCGTCTGGTAGGGGACAGAATCTAGTAAAGTAACGTGGTTGACGGCTCTTGATTTTGTAAATTTGCCTGTTGATTGGAGTAACAAGGGAGAGATATAACTGGAATCTCCAATCCATACTCGTCCATCCAGCGCAGTAGAATTGCCAGAGGAACCACAAGAAATGGCAATACTATCAGGAGGCGAATATTGAGTGGGAATGGCACTAGCAAGAATGATCAGAAGATCCCAAAAGAAGAAGAGAATTAGCAGAATTGAATTGTACATAATTTAGATTACTGAAAATTGTATTGATTGATTAAAGGAGCCTAAAAGATGTGATTTTTGAATGAATTAGAGTCAACTCTTGCAAGAGAGTCGATTGTTTGTGTAAATATTTAAAATTATTGCTTCACCCACCCCCTTGATAATTTAACATTACATGAGAAAATTAAACACGGCATTGGTTGACAAAGTAGTCCGCTGTCATCTTCATTATCTATCTCTTGAGTCCCACATCGTCCTTTGAAAAAAAGAAAAAAGCTAATTGGGAAAGACTACATGGAGAAGAATGGTATTGTATGTCATTATGGAATAATAGATTGTCGTGAATTGTAACTAGTGTTTTTGAGTTACACGTGGCTCGTGAAAGACTTGCGTTGTGAGTTTTATAAATGCATCGGCAACTCTCAATTTACAAGTCAAGTTTGAAAGCGGGTTCAACTTAAACTACTTGTAATAAATTGTGCAATTATATTTCATTTAAACTTATTCATGGATACAGTGAGATGGAAGATTCCTCTAGTCAAATCTAGCCTGTTTAGGCCATGTACTTCTTCCTACAAGGAACCTTCCTTTGAATTTGTCGTGTAACAAAGATGAAGCTTCAAGGTGTTTGCTCTTGTCAAATTTTCTTGAGTCTACTCGGTGGAGTTTTCTACAATTTTCATCTGAATTTTGAATTATTAAAATAAAAACATAACATGATTTTTTTTATTTGATTGAATTTCAAATGAAATACAATTTAAAAGAGTATATGAATATTATCTATGGGATTTCATTTTATGCAATTATTTCCTTCTATCTTCCAGGGCAGTAAGTCAACGACTAGATTTGGGAGAATTTTAGTATCAGGCATTTTTTTTTTTTATAAGTAATAAGAGAATTTATTTATAAATCAAGAGATAATATATGGAAAATGTATTATCAATTTAAACAATACAAGAACGACATGAAATTAAGCAACCCTTCTATATGGTTATTAGCCACAGTATTAAACCAACAGTACAAAGTCAGATAAAACAATTCTCTGAACTGCTCTGTAGTTCTTGTTTGGTCTTCAAAACAGCGACTATTCATTTCTCTCCACACGCACCATACAATGCATCTCAGAATAAGATCTCATACAATCCTACTATCTTTATCACGAAATTTCTTCCTCCATGCTAGTACCATATCTTCAATTCACCTAGGCATCACCCAATCCAAATGTTAAGAAACAAGAATGCTGTTCTAAAACCACCGAACACCATCGCAATGAATGAACAGATGGTCAATCGTTTTCCCATCTTTATTACACATGTAACATCACTCGGTAACACAAAAACCCCTTCTTCGAAGATTATCCACCATTAACGCTTGCCCCCGCACAACCGTCCACAATAAAAATGTCACATATGGAGGCAATTTACATTGCCACACCATCTTCCATGGGAATAAGTTCTGCGCAGGTTCTACTAAGGATCTAAAATACGAGCGAACTGAAAATATATCATTTCGTGCCAACCTCCACCTGCTACGATCAACTACTCCAACTTGAATGTGCACCTCATGCAAAGAGGTCAGAAACAAGGCATAATCATCTAATTCTCAATCTTGTAAACCCCTCTCAAAAACAGTATTTCAACTGTGACTTCCATTATGAATGGTGAGTACATCATTTACCATAACAGACGACTCCAAGGCAATGTGATGCAAAGAAGGAAAGCGCACCTTAAGCGGTTGATCTTCACACCAACGATCGTCCCAAAACCTGATATTATTGCCATATCCCACCTCATAGTCCACATTATCTCGAAAGTCACTCCATCCTCGTCAGATATAGCTCCACAAACTCACCCCATAAGAACCACGACCGTCAACTGAGCACCAACCCCCCTCTGCAACACCATACTTCGCTCCAATGATTTCTCTCCACTCCAAAACGCCACAGCCATTTACCCAGCAAGACCTTATTAAACAGAATCAGGCTCCTCAATCCAAGCCCCCCCCCCCCCCCCCCCCCCTTACAGGGCATCGTGTTAAAAAAACTGCAAATTTGTACTGATTTTCCACCTCCATATCGATTTCTGGTGACATCAAGGAATCCTTTGATCAAATAGAATTAACCTTTAAAAAAAGCGACATGCTCATAATTCGATATTTACTAAAATTTTAAGCAACTGAAATTTATCCTATCTATCCTTGCTTTTTTTCTTTCATGTAGCAATTGATTGAGAGAGCGGCAAAGAAAAGTATTTGACTCCAAATTTATTGCAGATAAGGTTTAGTTTGTTGATGTCTGCATTTCTTTGCATCTTATTGTAAATTAATGGTGTTTTTATAATTAACAAGAAGATTTCAAACTCTGGAAAGCTTCATCAAATCTGTGTATATATAACTAATAAAAATAATAAGAAAGAGAATCATTTTGCAGTCATAGTGTAAGTCCCTTTCTTATTGCAATTTATACATGTATTTTGTAGCTAGCACTTTGATGCGAACACGTATGAAACAACACTTGACTAGACAATCATACATAAATATTTTTGAATTAAACAAAAAAGGTCGCATACATGCTTTTTTGTCGACGCTCTTTAACACCATAATAATTACCTCATTTGTGGTGTCGATGTAAGCGTTACGACCTGCACCATCCAAATAGGTAGGTAGTTTTTGGCTGTGGCAATGTAGGATTTTATGCTTCCAACATCTCAAGCATCTACAACATGATTGGTCGATCATTTGGTCGTTCTTGGACGCACAAAAGAACAGCTCGGATACATCACAGTGCTTCATCCACTGAAAACTCATCATGTATTGATTTATCTAACCATTCTAGTGCGCTTTCCTTTGTTTCACATCTTCCCAGCCTGGACATTTAGCATAATTATTGCTCATTTATTAGTGCCAAAATTAGTGAAACGGACCGAAAGATTTCTTAGTTAGTTCCCTTATTTGCATGCCAAATAAGAAATGCACCAGAAAAATGTCCCAAATTTCTACTTCCCCTCACAATTTCTACGACGAACTCCTAAACTAAATAGATTTCACTTAACTGATAGTGTACTTCCAATGACATATTCTGGAGACAAATAGTACAACATATTAGACAAATTACAGAAATTCATATGTTACTTTAGACTGCGGAAGAATTAAGGACGCATGGCTGTCTTGATACTTTCTATGTTCCAACTACCCTTACGGTTCCCGTTTCACTTTGATATTCTCCTAAAGTTCTAGCAACGCCAAAGTCTCATTGTGCAGTAAAACATCGCTGGCTTTGAGATCCCTGTGAATAATTTTCAATCCTGAATCTTGATAGAGGTGAAGAATGCCATGAGCTAGACCAATAATGATTTTGAAATGTATGGTCCATCCAAGTTCACTCCGTCTTGCTTCATGTGGTCTCGTATGAAGTCAAGTTAGCTCATATAATTGCAACTTCAGTTGTTGCCAGAAGCTCTAAGACAACAACTCCAAAGCTAAAGATATTTGACTTTGACTGATAATACACCGTGCATGAAATACTCTGGAGAAGCATAGTGATGCAGGAGCATTTACTTTGTTAACAAACAATCCAAGACTAAGAAAAGAAAGGGTCCAAGGGCAAAGAAAAAGCAATCTTTATTCATATAATCAGGTTGTCTATTACATTGAATAAGTCCATCTATCGATAGAGGAAATAAATTAAAAGAGTTAAAAAGCAAAGAAAATTCTAATAAACTATGATTGTATCAAAATATCATAACTAATCTTATCTAATCTAATTTAATCAAAATAACATATTTGGAATCAAACTCTACTTTTAAGCTGTACTTCTATTTTTATCTTTATCCTTATCTTGATCTCCATCATATAGACAATGTAAACCATATTAGCTGGATTATAGAAATTAGTATGTTACTTTTGAATCTTTGTAGTAATTAGAATTATGCATTATTGTGTTAATACTTTATACGTTCCAACTATCTGGTAGTTATTTCAGTTTGATATTCTTCTAAAGTTCTTGCAAGGCTGAAGTTCGAAACTTTAGGCGTCATCTCATTGTCCAGTAAAATACTCTAGATTGAGATATCTGTAAAAATTCTCAATCCCGAATCTTGATGAAGATAATCAAGACAACGAGCTGTACCGATGATGATTTTCAAATGTATTGTCCATCCAAGTTCATGACGTCTTGCTTCATCTGTCTCATTTCAAGTCAAGTTAGCTCATATAATGTTGACCAATATTTTGTTTGTGCAAAAGAAAGAAAATGACATTCCAGAATTGAAGGATTTTAGTTATAGAAAGAGAGAGGGGAAGGGGGAGAGAGAGACTGAATTCTAACCAGATATATGAGCATCCGGACTTTTGTTCTCCATAAACTCTACACAAGTATAATTTATTCTCAATGGAAGCAGTATCCAAGTTGTTTAATGAGGTTTGGATGCTGAAGTTTTAGGAAATTAGGAGAACCTCATTTTTCAATTCAGTGAGGCCCTGACTCGAATTTGACGAATTCTGTTTTAACAGCTACTTCCTGTCCTCTAAATAATATACCATGTACAAGAGCAATAAAATAGCATGAGTAGAAGATTGAACTTCGGAAGCACCATCTTAAGGAAGATATTAGGAATTAGAAGCAAGTCTAGGAAAGACCACCTTGTAAAGACTAGCGAATCTGACAATTTTAATCTTATTTGAACCCAAGAATTATTAGTTGCAGGCCTGCAGCAACAATAGTAAGTCAAGGTCAAATTTGAGTAATCGGGTTTGTTATTATTGCAAAAAGAAAGAACACATTAAGAGGGATTGTGAAAAATTGCAGAATAAACGTAATTTGACTGCAAATCATGAGAAGCAATCAAATACTTCAAACGAGACCAACATAGCTTAGAACTATTTGAGTGATACCAAACCCGACGAAGAATGGATTTTGAATACAGCTTGTGCGTTCCATATGTATCACAATCGGGATTTGTTTGAAACATATGAAACTTTGTCGCAAGGTGTCGTTGTCATGGGTAACAACAAACCTTGTCAGG